GTGGGTTCAGATTCATTCACAGTTGTGACTTTCAGGCTGACCCCTGCCAGGCTCAGATGGCTGCACTCAGTTATCCCCCAATCTCCTGCCTCTAGTTGTCCCCGGCATCCTGCAGTCACTAAGAAACACACTTGGTTCAGACTGCTAGGACATCTGCTTTGCAGCGTGTTCTCGTTGCAATAGGAGGAAGCCTTCCAAGTGTCTCCACCTATTTCCTTCATAAGGAGCCCTTTGTTTTCCTGACACACAATGCAGCTTTATTTGGTTCCGGCTTTTCCCTCCCAGCTGCTTCCCAGAAAACTCTTCGCAGAAGTAGGGGGAAAAGGCGAGCGGCTTAGGGGTCTTGTACTTTGCAGGTCTGGAAACTTTTTCACCTCCGAAAACTCCAGGAGTACAGGATCTTTCGAAAAAGCCTGCCCTTTTCGAAATAACCACGTCTAGACCGCGGTTCCACTTTCGAAAGAGCGCCTTTTCGAAAGCGCACCATAACGTGATTATGCAAATGAAGCACGGGAAATTCAAATCCGCGCTTCATATGCAGTTTCGTTTGTCTGCATTTGCATTCCTCTCTTGAAGGCGGAATGCAATGTAGACATATCCTAGACACACAGAGGCGCATGGCCATGTTCTTTCTGTGCTTTGAGCCAAGGCAAAGCCAGCAGTTGCGTGGCCATGTCCTTTCTGTGCTTTGAGCCAAGGCAAAGCCAGAGGGAAGGCGTCTGTCCCCAGACTCTGTCCTGTTAATGAACTCTTTGCACCCAGGTACAATTGGCAGCATCTGGGAAACGTTCCACGCCCGAAAGGCCGGGGTATTGTGGAGATGATGGGAGGCAGCAGCATTCCCTGTGGCAGCTATCGGGTTTCTGGGGTGGGAGGGATGGCAGGGGAAGCTGGGGGACCTGTGAATGAGCAGAGAAAGGACCAGGAGCCTGGAAGACCATGGAGCGCCTGCATCCAGGCCATAAGTGGCAAAGCAAGACGGGAGCGAGGCCAGGAAAGAGCCAAACTTTAGAACTGAGGAATTCTCAGGTTCCTATCCCTGTCCGTCCAGTAATGCCTCACCTGTTAGGTGGGGCAACACTCCCCACTTCCCTCCCGCTGTCACCTGCGGGTTAATCAGCAGCTGGGTTTCCAGCCACGGTTTCCCGGTTTTTTACAATTTCAAAGCCCTAAACCCAACAAGCCTGCCCCGGTTCGATCGCCGCAGCCTGGTGCCTTCCGCGCAGGCATGAGGCGCCGGCCACCCACTAGCGCGTGTTGTCTGAGCACTGTGCTGGCCCCGGTTCCTCCCCGGGCAGTGCCCGCTCACGCCCAGCAGGGCCTGTCCGAAGGAGCATGGACAAAGAGTGCACAGGAGAGTCCAGGGACAGGAGAGGAACCTGGAGAGTGGCACGCCTGTGTGGGGATTCCCAGCTGGAACGGAAGGGAAGCCTGAAACAGCTCCTAGCCCTGCACCAAGCCTGTGACCTCTCCGAGCCTTACGCCCTCGGGCAGAGAAGGGCACCTTGCTCCATTGCCACTTCAAAGGAGGACTTGGATCAGGTCCGCTTTTTGTGGTGGGGGCTGGGAACAGGCTACACGCTCCAGCTTGAGGCTTCTCGTAGCTAGAAGGGCGAAATCTTTTGTCCTTGCTGCATTTCCCTTTCCCACATCTGCTCCCTGACAGCTTTCTCACAGCCTCTCCTTGTTCGGAGGCAGCCACAGCCCCGTAGGGACAGAGCAGAGCAGGGCATGTCTCCCCTCTGGGATCGGTGCTGTTGTGTGCGTGTGGTGGGGGAGAGAGATCGGGGTTTCTTTTTGTCCGGACCCCCTTCCATTCACACTTCCCTCTTCCACCCAGTAATTTGTTGTGGTCGGAGCCAGTAATAGCGGCTTTGTGCTAAGGCAGGGGAGGGAGCGGGGGGGGGGGGGGGCTCCACTGTTTCTATACGGGATGTTTTCCCTGCACCCCCACACCCTTGAATAATGTTTTTGATTGTAATGGTCCGCCCTGGTTAAGGACCCCTCCCCCTCCCCCGCTTTTCTCTCGCGCTCTCTTCTGTCAACCACGTTAGACGTTGAAACAACCCAGTGCGATTTTTCTTCCCAGGCTTATTTGACTCGTACAAACACCCATGTTTAAAGCCGCACCGACCGCTGTCCGCGGCTGGGGAAAGCATGCAGCCAGCCCGAGTGGCGAGGTTGCCGGTGTGTTCGGGAGCAGGGCAGCGCAAGCCGAGCCTGCGGTAGGACTCTCGGCCTCCGCTCTTGGCTAGCACTGAAGTGCCTCTCCACATTCAGAGCTGTTCACCTGTAGGTTCTAGGGTTGCCAGATGGTTTAACAAAAAATCCCAAACACCCTCACACACACCCCCAAACAGGAAACACCGGGAAAAAATTCTGCTGAGGGAAAAACAGGGAGACCAAAGTTGTTGAGCAAAAAAAAAGGGGGGGGGGGCGCTGTGCCTTTAAATGGCCCCAGGATCCTCACTCCCCCGCCATAGGTGGCAGGAGAAAATTGTCCCCACCAGGCTTCCATCTGAGGGAAACAGGATGGGGACCTGAATAACAGACAGTCTGGGTGAAAACCAGACATCTGGCAACCCTAGTAGGTGCTCCCCTGCTCGCTCCGTCGCCTCCCCGCTGCCAGTTCCGCGGAAGGAGCCTGTTGGCATGTCAGCCGGACGCTAGGGGAGCCGTTCCACGACGCGTCGCGATCGGAACCAGCTTCTCCCCACGCCGGGCTGCCTGCTCGCCAGCCTCGGAACCCTGCCTGCTTGCGGCGGAAGGGCTGTGGCGAGCACTGCCATGAAATCAGAGGCCACGAAGCAAAACCACAATCGCTTTCCCCACCAGCTCCGGTGTCAGGAGGCCGCCACTTGGAGCTGCACAGGATGCTTCCCTGCCGGTGTTATCTGCCAGCGGCGGGAGCAGCAAGGGGGAAGCGGGGACAGAATGGGTAGCAGAGCATAGCTCATGGACTTTCTGGGGCCTGTCTCCAGGTTGATTCTGTATTTGGCGCAATAGCATCCAGTCAGGGTCACCTGCTCCCCCGGCTGAAGTGTCAGGGGGCTGGAGTGTCAGCAAGGCGTGGAATGGAAAAGCGGGGCCAGGATGGGTGAAAGCAGCAGCCCTGAGGCAGTTACAGACCCGGAACCACAGCTGGAAACACCTGCAACCTACATGGCGAGGTGGAGACTCCCAGGCCGATTCTGTTTCATCGGCCGCCTGCAGGCTTTGGACTGGTCTGTGCTTTGGCTGCGGTTTAACCTCTCAGCTACTGGATGGTGCATCCGGGGTCCTCGAACATCAGTCAGATTCTGATTTGGGGGTGCAGGTTGCCGCTTTTCTAGTCCACGGTGCATCCCCCCCGCTGGGCGATCCAGGTTGTGGATGTGAGCTGGGTTGCTTTCTAAGCCTGTAGGTTAAAAACACACGACCCTGCAGCTCCGAGTCACATGCAGGAGGGGATAAAAGCAAACAATGCGGCGACTGTGCACCCGGACAGACAGTGGGGGAGAAGAGCGTTAAATGAGACGGATTCACCTCTGCATTATCGGACGGATGCTGAAAGCAATGCGTGTCTGACACACCCTCCCATCACGGCAGAGGCATCTCTGAGAGCAGGAAACTGGTCCCTTTCGGAGAGCTAGCCACACAGGGCTGCCTCTAAGGATGTGTGGGAGTAGCTCCGTGGGTCCTTTCACTCCTCCTTTGGCGCCCACTGGGACAAGTGGGGATCCCATTCCGGTCCCAGGAGCCCCGAGCCGTCTTGCCGGGGGGCTCCGATCTCCCAGAATCCCCTGCAGAAGTGCAGTGTTCAGAACGGGTCGTTCTCAAGGCAGCCTGATGGGCGTGCCCCCTGCAACATGGAGCTGTCAGCGAGGGTCTGTTTGTACTGCACGGGACTCCTTTGCCCTTCACTTTGCTTTCCCATCCTTGTCCCCTCCTGCCAACCCAAATCCTCATGGTTCTGTCTCTCCTCCTGGGAACTCCCTCTCCTCCCCTCCCGTCTTTGCCATTCCTTAGTGCAGGGCTACTCAACTTCGGAAGCGCCAGGGGCCACAAAGATGCTCACCGTGCATGCTGAGAGCCACAACTTCAGTGTGGTTGCAAATATATGCAAATAGCTTCTTTCAGACCATGCCCCAGCTCTCCCGGCACCTCCTCCCTGGGGGCTAGACACGCCAACACCCTGTACCCGGCTGTTCCAGCCAGCCCGTCCGCTTGCATCTTTCAGTGCTCACCCTGCCTGGGAGACGCCTCGCCATTGTGGAGCGTGTTCCCAGTGGAGGCCATGTTCAAAGGATCCCACCTGCGGGCCGCGTGTTGAGCCCCGTGTAAACTCAAACCGCACCACGGGCCGCATGTGGCTCCCAGGCTGCGTATTCAGGAGTCCTGCCTTAGTGGGTGTTTTTCCCTTTGATATTTCCATAACCTCTGCTCCTTGTTTTCCTCCCCCTTTCCTTCCCCCCCTTCTCCCCTATTTATTTTGGGTCTGCACATCCTAAATTCAAAACTCCGGTCATCTGAAGAAGTGGGCTGTGCCCATGAAAGCTGATGATACCAGCTATATGTTTTGATCGTCTATAAAGTGCTACCAGACCCGTTTTTGTTTTTTAAGTTTATCCTGTACAGACTAACTCGGCTACCCCCTGAAGCATCTAAGCAGTTCTCTCTGTTCAGCAACCAGGTACAGGGGTCTGGACAAGGGTTTGAGCTCAAGACTAAGGCGTTGAAAGTCTTGGGCTTTGATTGTCTGGTTGTATCCTTGGGCAAATCTTTTCATCTCGCTCTCCGTTGCGTCCAGGGGCTGATGGATGTTCACGGAGCGCTTTGAAGTTGAAACGCACACTAGAAACGCCTTGCGTTAGCATGATTAGAATTGTCCCCAAGGGCTGGGAGCACTGACATTAAAGAGATATACTTAAGGACTGTTTTAAGACCTAGCCTGCCCTGCCTGTCTCCTTCCTGAGGAATGATATGTACTGTATTTTGCTTTTTTTTTTTTCTCCCCGTAGGAACTTAGCAATTGGGATTGGAATTCAGAATTTCCCAGAAGGGCTTGCCGTCAGCCTTCCTTTGCGAGGCGCCGGATTTTCAACATGGAGAGCGTTTTGGTAAGCAGTGCTTCTCCTGGAACGTCCTTCACATGCCGAAACGTGTCCTTCCATCCATTTCTTAGCTGCTGTCACTGCATAGGTGCCTGTAATGCGCTGCTTCCTATGCTACCTCCTATTAAGAACATCAGAACGGCCACACTGGGTCAGACCAAAGGTCCGTCTAGCCCTGTGTCCTGTCTGCTAATAGTGGCCAATGCCAGATGTGCCAGAGGGAATGAACAGAGATGGGAAACATCAGAGGACTCATCAGAGGCTTGACTGTTTGCGGAAAAGCTGCTCCATTTTTGAAGCATTCTCCAACCTGTCACCCGGATTGGTGACAGGAGGCCGGGTCTTACTGGTCTGGTAATACTGACGTTTTCACAGTGATTAGGGCTGTATAGATGGCTCCTTTTTTGTGCAAAACCCCCCTCTTGTGCAAGAGTTGTTCTTCCTGAAAAAATGAGGAAGAGCAGCTGTGGGGAGCACGGGGCCAGTGGGGGACTCAAGCAGTCCCCCACTGGTACCGTGCACCCCGTGGCGTTTCAAAGCAGCAGCACCGCATGGAGCCGGGGTCAGTTAGGGACTCAGAATCCCCAGCTGGCCCAAGGCTCCACGCAGCACTGCCGCTTCGAAGCACCCCTTCCTCTTCCCCCCCTTTGCTGCCTCTTTCTGATAGAGGCAGCAAGGGGGGAGGGGGAAGCGACTCGTCGAGTACCCTGTCGATGAGTCGGTCACGTCCCTAGAGCCCTAAGGCCTTTGTCACACCTCCGACTTGGTGTTGCTCCAACACATTTATAAAAACTTAACTTCTGACCTGAGAGCGACTTTCTCTTCCCTGCCCAGGCCTGGCAGTGCTAAACGTACAACCATGTTTCTGATGCTCTTATCTGACTGCTCATAACCACCACGGTTATTCACGCCATTCCCAGATGTTTGTGCATCCCTGCCTATCCAGCTGCCCGGCTGTGTTCTTCTTAGTGCATTCTGGGATATTCCCTGCAGCTAGCCCCGTCATGTCACAGCAGAGGACAGCAGCTGAAGGACATCCTCACAGGTGACACGGTCGGTAGTGCATTCTGGGATGTCTGACCAGACAGTGCTGGAAGGAAGGCATTAGGCTGGCATAGTTAGGAGGACCTAGCGCAGCAAAAAAACCAGGGTGATGGACCGATTGCAGAAGAACAACCTAGACCACCGGCAAAGGCAAACCATTGTTGGCATACACAGCTAAGGACAGATGATGAGTCATCAAACTGGGTTTAGAGACTACGCCTCGATAGGATGGAAAGAGGCAAAATGGATGTGTTCTGAAAGGATCCCTACTCCAGAGTTCCTTCAGCAGTGAACCAGCATGTAGCTGCGTGTAGGGTGGGGTATAAACAGGGAGAGGAGAGGAAAAACTAGAAGACCGTTTGCCTGCCTGGATCCAGATGTTCTCAACTCTGCAAGCCTTCCAGATTCATGGAGGGGATGTGTCTTTGGCTGGGTTGGCTCACCATGGTCTCAGAAGCTCTCATTTGTTTTGCAAGAGTTGGCAAACATCTCCTTTTCAGTGTGGGGATGGGAATAGGGATGTTAAATATCAGTTAATTGAATAGTCGAATAACCTCAAGAATTCTTATCGGTTAGTCGACTGTTCTATAGTCCCTGGGGATGGGGCCGGCAACACCGTGCTCCTGCCTCACTCCTCAGGTGCTCCCTGCCACTCCGCGCTAGGCAGAGGGCGAGGCGGGACCTGGATCACAAGGAGAGTCGGTTGAAAAGCCAGATCCCCTTGCGGACCAGCTGCCTGTCTCCCCGCACGCTGCTGCCTCTGATAAAGAGGTAGCAGCACGGGGTGGCAGCAGCCCCTATCTGGGGAGGTGGGTCTGAGCTCCCAGACCTGAGCCAGGCTGCCTGCCCACCCAGCTCCTAATACACTTTAAATGCAGAGCCGCAGCAGGGGTAGGTCCTGGACCTGTTTCAAGCCAGGACTGAGCCGGACTGCTGGCCAGCCTGCTAAAACATTTACTGGCAAGTGGCGGAGGGGAAGGCGTGTAGTCTATAGCATTAACCTATACGTTTTTGCTTATCGGTTCATCAACTACACTGTTACATCCCTAGATGGGAAGGCAGATTTGCATCCGCTCTGCACACTCAAAAGCACGGCAGCCTAATGCTATTCAGAACCTGCCCGGTGCATTCTGGGTTTGCAGACTTCACAGCTCCTATGGACTGGGACATACCCATGTCCTGAGTGGGACGATTAGGCCCTTGGAGTCCAGCAACTACCTGCACTACGTTGGGTACAGAAAGGGGTAAAGGAAACTTTTCCTGACGCTCATCCAGGCTTCACTGGTGGCTTTCGGTCTTGGTTCTCTTACAGGTACGGACAGCTCAGCGGCATGGTGGAGCCTTTAGCTGGTGTCTTCGGTGCCTTTGCCATTGTGCTGGCAGAACCTATCCTCCCCTATGCCTTGGGCTTTGCTGCTGGGGCTATGGTCTATGTGGTCATGGATGACATCATCCCAGAAGCACAAACCTGGTGAGGAAAATCTCCGCGGGGTTGCTGGGTTAGTCTGTAACGGTAAGAACGACGAGTCGTCCTGTGGCACCTTAGAGACTCAGCCACAGATCTGGAATCGTGAGCTTTTGTGGGTAAAACCCACTTCCTCAGATGGGTTGGAGTGGAAATAACAGAAACCAAGTTGTCAGATGGTTTTTTGGAGGGCGAGGAATAGCTCAGTGGTTTGAGCATTGGCCTGTGAGTTCAGTCCTTGAGGCAATTTAGGGATTTGGAGCAAAAATCTGTCAGGGATGGTACTTGGTCCTGCTGTGAAGGCAGGGGACTGGACTCAATGACCTTTCAAGGTCCCTTCCAGTTCTCGGAGATAGGCAGTCTCCATCCATATCATATCATGATATATTTTAGCAGCAGAACTACCTTTCAATTGTAGGACCCGTATTAATGATGCTAATTAAGTGGGCTAGATGTGTTCCATACATCGCTTTGGATGTGGAAATGCAGATGTTAAAAGTGGGAGGAATTGTCTTTGTAATGAGCCAACGAGCTCATGTCTTTGTTCCAGCCCAGGGTAACGGTACCAAATCTGTGGATGAATTCCAGTGCTGCAGACTCTCTTTGAGACAATAAATGAGAGAAAATGGCATTAGAGAACTGTGATTAAGAGTCTCAAAGCTGCCCTAGACGCGTTGGAGATACGTCCCCATTGCTTTTAATGGCGTTGTTTGTCTAAATCCCATGGGCAGTGGGTATCGTACGCAGGGGGTGGCTGTGCTTCCGCAACAGCCTACTGTGCCCCCACACACCCTCCCCGCCCCCTGCCCAGATGCCCTCCTGCTGGCTTCCAGGCTCTGCCCTGGCTGGCCTGGGCTGGGGATTCAGGGGGGCTAGGGCTGCACTGCTCCCCTGAAGCTCTAGCACTGGCCACCTGGAGCTGGGGATGCTGTTAGGCTGGGGGTGTTGTGCCCAGGGCCTGGTGGTGCGGAGGCTGCACTGTCTGGCCTTCCAGGCCACACAGCACTGGGGTCGTGGTGGGGGTGCTTTGTGCTCCTCTGGGGGTAGTAGGAGGAGAGGGGGCAGAAGGGGTGGGGGCCCTGAGGCACAAGGGGAGGGCTGAGGGTACCATCCCTGGGCGGCTGGGTCACCAGCCACCTGTGCTAAACCCCCAAGATGGCTCGGCCTGTCTCAGTGTCGGGGGAGCTCAGGTGTAGGTGCTGGGCTGTGAGCGCTCTCAGGGGCTAAGACCTGGAGAGGCAGGTCCTCTTGACACCGGCACTCCTAGGAGCCCATTGGATGAATCTTATTTTGATTGGCGGGCAGGGTCAGCAAGATGCGAGGCCTTCGAAGGCCTAGGGGAATAACCGGGGTTCGGGTGGAATCCCTTCTTTTCTCAGATGAGACGGGAAGACGACTCTGGTGTCTGCCTGAGAGGAAGTTGGGACGCACGGGCACTCACTCCCTCTCCTTTCCTCCTTGCAGTGGCAATGGGAAGCTGGCTTCCTGGACCTCCATCTTAGGGTTTGTGGTGATGATGTCCTTGGATGTCGGACTTGGATAATGGTGGCTTACTGTTGGCCAATGGAAGATGACATCTGCGCAACTTGGCAGCAGTTGGAACTGGAACGCTTATTTCCTTCTAGATCTTTTATATGTCTATTGATTAGGTTGGGTGTTCATTATCTAGGAGTTTGTATATATTTTTTTTCTGTAACACCTTGATTATTTTCAAAGCAGAAAGATTGGTGGCTCCTTGCAGGTCCTGGGTTTCTTTTGCCACCAGATTCTTTTCGACTGGGCTACCGATAAGAGGCATATCAGTCAGGATGCAGTTGATTGTTTACTTTTTCTCCCAGTTTTTTGGGCGTTTCTGTAACAGTCGAAGCTCTTGTTTTTTGGGGCGTTTCTGTAACAGTCGAAGCTCTTTTGGTTTGGGCCGTACTTGTTCTGTTAGTCACATTCAGGTGTCGAAAGAGGCTTCTAATCAAGCAGTAGAATAATTGGTGGGTGTGTTTGTGTGGTGTCTGAACTTCATCTTGGAGGCATGGAAGTGCTAGCACTAAGAAGGACACCTGAACAAATGAGTGTGTAGCAGCGTGTCTAATACATACTCCTAGGGCTTAAGACATTTTCAGTGTCATCAGCTCTTTTGATGGACATAAATAAGCTAAACCAACAAAAAGAGAAACCCTGTAAAAATCATATCAAGAAGGTAGAAGCTGAGAAGGTACCAGTTTTCCCTGCTGGGTATGTCATCCTAATGGGGCCTTACTCCGGATGGTCAATGGGCAATTCTTTGTCTCTTGGAAAATGTGAAAGAAGACATCTGTTTTAGAGCGTGAAATCTCGTAGGATGCAAGATGTGATTATACAGTTTTGTTCTTAAGGTGCTACGTGACTCTTGTATAGCAGGGTCCATTGCCTGCTTGGACCTGGGGTGTTGTTTCAGAAGTTGCTGTTTGATGGTTGCTGTTTTAAATCAGACTGAAAATCGCTGTGAAGTGTTAGTGTCTGCTCTTCCCAGAGGTGGGCCTGTCCGCGTGCCATCTCCACCATCCCCCAATGAAGGCATCCATGGTAGCTTTTGAAGGGCCAGTCTTGCCCTCACGACAGCTCTTATTTTCCCCAGCACTCGTCCGATTAATTCATTACCTAAGACAGTCAGCAATGCAACACCTTGATGTGTTTTCTCCCACTTTCCAAGCATTTGTTTGGCTAGCAATGGTTCCCAAACATGCGGAGTCATTTGTCTTAACAGATCGGAAGCAAGTCCTGCTTCTCTTAAACTGGGGGTGGGCAGTAAAAACCCAGCAGTCCTCCAGAGTTAGTCCCAGCTGGGCCACTGTCGCTGCGCTTACCTGCGCCGCCACAGATATCGGGCAATCGCAGCTCTCATTGGCCGTAGATCACTGTTCACAGCCAATGGGAGGGGTGGGAAATGATGCAGACTGGGACACTGCTTCCTGCTGCTCCTATTGGCCGCGAACAGCAATCTCTGGCCAATGAGAGCTGCGATTGCTGGATACCCGTGGAGGTGCAGGTAAACAGAGGTGGGCGCCCACCAGGGGTTAATAGTGGTGGACCGGATCCGGCCCACCCAGTCTTAGACAGACACGCACTAATGGAATATGACTGCGTCATACTAAGCTGAATAATGAAAAGCAGACATCAAGATAATGACGAAGAACGTGCGTCCCTGCTCACTTTCAAGACAAGCTGTTCTCCCCCATCACAACGGGGTTTGATTTGACCCATCGGCGACCACGGTAGACAACTAGATTGCCTGGCTGATGTCTAGGCAGCTCAAGGACTCTTGGCTTATCTTTGTAGCGTGTATGCCGCAGAGTCCCTCATGAGAGTCGTGGGCCACGTATGCCACAGCCTCCCAGTAAACAAGACGCTCCTAGAGAGGCTGTAGCAATGCAGCCAAGGGGACTAGGCACCAATGAGCGAAGTTAAAGCCATGGAATTGATGTTGGGTTCAGTTCACTGGCTGGATTTTGTCTCTATTTATTTGTATGTAGCTCTGGGTAATACAATAATGCTGGTTGCCAATGGTCCTGACCTTTTAACTGTGATTAGTTTCAATAAATGGGGAAATCAGAGTCTTTGCTGACTTATTTTGCCTTCCCTTTTCTTCTCCTCCCTGCATTTGATTCCATTCCTTCCTCTAATTCAAGTCTTTCTCGTTTGCCTGAGGTCTTCGTTCTGAGACAGACCAAAAATAGTGCATCTCAAACTACAACTATAGGTTGAACCTCTCTAGTCTGGCGCACTCTGGTCCGGCAACATCCGTGGTCCGGCATGATATTAGTTAGCCGGATATCCACTTATCATGGGTGTGGCCAAGTTTCCTGCAGACCCATAAAGTTTGTTTACAG